TTGACGTGATGCAGAAAAATTTAAAAAACGGAAGAATAAAATAACCGAGGGGCAAAACAAAAACACACCGAATTTGTTCCGTCACTTATCTATGCAACGGTTTCTGAGACGTAATTGTTAATTTGGAGAAGACGTATTCGGTTCAATGAAAACTAGGCTAAGAAATGATTTTGCAACCACATTACACATATCGTGTAAAGTTATACAGTAAAGTTATGGGATTTCAAAGATAAGATTTCTGACATACCCATCAACATTTGTGTCCTGTGAGACTTTGATTTTTTTATGTTTTAAATTTAACTGAAACCTAAAACCACCTTATGGTATTCATTGGCCCTTGGGTTCATGTTTTGACAATAATATCAGGAGCGTTTAACTTATATATCAGTAACGATATATATCCCCTAGAGAAGCAAATATGTAAAATCGAGTGTTTTCTTATCGTTCTCAGTTTGTGAGAAAGTACGTCTGTTGTCCGTTTCCCGATTTAAAAGAGTCTAAGGACGGTTTGTGATAATGTTTCACAGTTTGGGAATTCAAAATACCCAAGTTACAATTTGGAAACGCAGCCCCCAAAACGTTGTCATTTCGATCTCGAACGTGTCATAGATATTATTCCATTATTGAGTTATTTCATCTGATGCTTTTGAACGCAACTTCCTTTAAATGAGTTTTTAAACCGCTGGCAGCAATATCACAGCAGTATTCATGGGGGTAGATTAGGCTGCAGGGTGCCCATTTTGGAACCGAACCGAATCAAGCCTAAAACGCCATGAACAAACGCTTTATCGATTGGCTAGAGGCTCCTTTATGGACAGGTAAAACGATGAAAAAGAGTTTCGGTTGAGTGAATGCTGTACATTGCCGCAAACAGTGTTGTTTCAGCTACATCTCGGCAGGAGAGTAACGGGTCAAGTCAGGATCAGACAAACCAGTGTCAGGCCACTATGTAACCTGACACGTCAGATCAGAGAGCCTGCCACCCAATCCTCATCAGATAATACAAAGAGATGGCAAGGAAGGGTAACCTAGTGGTTAAAGTGTTCCCTCGTCACGCCGAAGACCCAGGTTCGATTCCCCACATGGGTACAATGAGTGATGGTCATTTCTTGTGTCCTCTGTCACGTACTGAAATCCTGTTCAACATCCCCACTCACTCGACGTGGTGTTAATCTCAGTACACTCACCAGCACCATGAGAAATGTATCAGGGAGGACACTCGTAACTAGACTCCACTCGAGCTGAAGGAGAAGAAACATTTACTGACGGTGCTGTTTTAAACATATTTGTCCAAAAGACAAAGGAACTGGACATACGTACACGACTTACTGTTGCCTTATCCCTACTGCTGACGGTAGTTAGGCAACCACGGAACTCAAACTTCAAACCTTAACGCCAATACGTTACCCGTATGCAACTGTTGTCCCAATCGTCGGATGCGCGCAGATGCGTCACGGCCGTTTCACTATACATTTGCTCCTTCGTTATGCCAAGACGAAATGATCTCAATATCGAATTACTTACTCCAGCTGATTTATCAACACTCATGGGATCCATTATTATTGTAATACAAAGACAACCATCTATTCGGTCTTTCCCGTCAACGTGTCTTTCGTAAACGTCATCAAACATTCACATCAACAGGCATTAACATAGTTGAAATGTGATTGATTCATATGAAACATCCCGGTGCAGCGGAGACAGCACTGGACTAGAGGATAGAGCGTCACCTGGAGATCATTGGTGCATACACAATGTCATTTAGAAAGTGATCAAAGTGATCCCGTTCGGGATTCGAACCCACACTCTCAGAGTCAGGCACCAAACGCCAGCACACAAAGTAAGCCATCTTACCCACTCAACCACCGCGGCTTCCAGTGGGAGAGTGTTGGCCCGAATCCCAGATGGGGCTCAAACACCACCACCACCACTCCAACCCAACCCGCCCTAAAAGTACAAAGTACTAGATTCTGTACTGAAAGTGTAATCCCAAATATTACATGTGTAACGGATCATTGTTAAATCGAACCCCTTCGGAAATTGTCTCCCTCCCCGGTGCTCGGTGTTAAGGGGATGGCACAGGGGATGGGTGCCTGGGAGTCAGACCTCTGTGCATGCGTCAGTGGTATCTATGTCAGACTGTGGCATGGTGTCTTAGAAGACTATCTCCGTCAAACCGGCATTAGCCTCGGCTGGAACTAGAAGATACAATAACACATGCATGTACGTCACTATAAATGTACAGTTATAAAAATGTACAGCTGTGAAAAACGCAATAGAGCAAAAATCAGGGATCATAATCCCAACGAAATATTATGTTTTGACAATATTATGACGACAATCCAACACACAAAGACATTGGAAGCTGGCTGCAAGAAGCAATTGGGTGTTAAACTGATCGATAATACAATATACATACAGTGACAATGCATCTCTCTGCATCATCAGCGATGCATTGTAGAATTCGAAACCTCATTTATTATTCAATTTGCAATTTCTAACGTCTTCGGTTCGGAGTAACTCTGCAGTCAATAACCCAACGTGTTAGATCATTTGAGGTAGATTTAACGACATTTTTCATTCTTATGAGAAAGGTCATATGAGGTCATTGTGTCAGTAATTAGGGTTTGCAGGAAAGGTCAGTGAGGAAAGTAGTCAAGCCAACTCAGGAAGAGTTCCTCAGAGAGTGGAGCTTCGTTTAGACTTGCCCCACAACAGGGAAGACAAACAAGAGATCATCTTCAAATATCCCAACGCATGATGAAACGTTATAGAATTAATTGTCCCTGTTTCATTCATCTATCACCATCAGCCTTTTAGAACATTCTTTGCTGCTTTTGCCTGTTACTCATATCTAGATTTAGTTATTTTGAGTGAGTATGGTATTAATCGCAATATTGTACTTATATGCTTCACTGGGGCGGTGGGGTAGCCTAGTGGTTAAAGCGTTGGCTCGTCACTCCAAAGACCCGGGTTCGAATCCCCACATGGCTACAATGAGTGACGCCCATTTCTGGTGTCCCCCGCCGTGATATTGCTGGAATATTGCTAAAAGCGGCGTAAAACCAAACTCAGTCAGTCAGTATATGCTTCACAATGTTCTTCATCCATGTGCGGAATAGAACCCGGACCTCGGAGAGATGCACAGACTCAATAACTACTTTGCTATCCCTTTCGCCCTTAATACATGTTGAAATGCAAACTTGGAATGAGTGAGTATGGTTTTACGCCGCTTTTAGCAATATTCCTGCAATATCACCGCAGGAGACATCAGAATTGTGCTCCATCCAAATTGGAAACATTTAAACACCAGTTAACTTTAAATCTCCGAAGAAGAAGGGTTTGGGCTAATATGATTCAGATAATAATACAAGTATACAGAACATGTTCGCAGATATTTTTGTCTGTGAAATTATTTACTTACACAATAAAACTGAGCAACTAGAGTACTTTGCACTTTGGAAACCAAACATAATCGAATACGCACTATATTTTTGTTTTGAAATTATCAAGTCACGTCACCATCTCGTTTGGATGCACAAAGTGCACGAAACAACCTTACCTTTACATAGCATTTGTTGTGCATGATAGTCGCAAGCCTGAGGTTCCCATATGACGCATAATTTCATATTGTGCACCCTCGTGCATCAGAGCAGATGACACGACTGGATATGAACCTTGAGCGTGTCTGTAGGGACATGTGCATCTCAAAAAGTGTTCCAAATGTCGGGACTACTTTTACAAAGAAGACGATGATGGGGCCTGGCATGTCTAGTGTTAAATATCTTACTCGTTTCCTTAAACCCAGTGGTCGATTCCAGTCGTCGACATCGACAAGAAAGTAAAACCAAATCCTGATGTCTCGTGACTTGTACTGGATCGCGTTTGTAGTAATGTGACATATCATGACAATCCAAACTCACAAACCCGACGTATTATCCTGTTTGTGACAAGTACTATAGAATAGTATGTAGTGGTAATAATGAATGAGTATTCTTCCTTTCGTGACCATTTTCCGGAAAATATTAATTCTTATATAAACCAAATAATTCATAACTCCATATCTCACAAACATGAACTTCTGAAAGTCAGCTATTGGTCAATACGTTCTGTCCTGTGTAGAAATGGTAATGAGTGTAGTATATAATAAACTTTCCCAGAACCACAAACCAGTTCCTGAACTCAAAGTAAGTAAGGTGGACCTGACTGTACGGTGGCACACGTCCTTGTGCGTCAGGTGTGCGAGAAATCTGTCATTCGACAGATACCTATGTTCGAATCCCAGATTCGCCTTGACTTAGCTTTTAGGCTTGTCAACAGCATAAGGGGCGGTGGGGTAGCCTAGTGGTTAAAGCGTTGGCTCGTCACGCCGAAGACCCGGGTTCGAATCCCCACATGGGTACAATGTGTGAAGCCCATTTCTGGTGTCCCCCGCCGTGATGTTGCTGGAATATTGCTTAAAGCGGCGTAAAACCAAACTCAGTCAGTCAGTCAACAGCATAAACGTGCTCGTGGAATTCAACATGATGTTTAACATCTAATAACATTGTGTTTTCCTGCTATACCATGTTGATTTGTCATCATGTAGCACCTATACCTTTCTGTCTCACTCCTGAACTCTCTCCTGATCAAATCAATTGATGAAAGATGTTGCAAACTTGGGTTACTTAACTAAAATGTTTAAAACCGACAAATGCATGAAACTTTCTTAGTTATAGTTGTCTTCAGTAAGAGAATGTTAATTTCATTTATGCATCAAACTCACCTTCATAGTCACCAAACCAACCATGTCTTGTAACAACTCATTTTATTCTTGGCAAACAATTTTGTTGTACATGTGTGAATGCAACATGCCCTCATAAATACACAATAGGCTGAGACTACGTCATTTGCTGTATCGAAGATGTTCTCGTGTTGAAAAGATAGAGCATGCCCGCAGATTAGAGCCCCACACCTCAGCCCATGCTTGATGATGCGCATTCTGCCTATCAGTGCTTCACCTGACATATCCAGGAAGTAGTAGAACATGAGAGAAATTGGAAAGGCTTTGCACACCGAACGCTGACAACTCATGACCTACTTTGAAGGAGGTAAACACAAGGTTGAAGGGCCAATCATTACACGTCTTTTACAATGGAGATCGAATAATGGGAAATTCCCCTCGCAATACATGCTCGTTTTCCTACTAATTAACGATCTCGAATTTACAGCCTCGTTTTGTTTAAATTTGCCTTTCCCACGCTTTATAAAGACTACCGAATTTTGACATTAGGTCTCTGTCACCGACTTGGAAAGAGCAGACGATAGAGTGTTGTGTCGTCTGCTGCTCCGTAAGGCGGAAGTAAGGCTGTCGTCTGCTATTGCAACCGGTGCAGAAGTCAACAGTTACTACTACCAGCATCTGCAGCGAATCACAAGCACGAAAATGAGTGAGTAATGAATATTTTCTTTGAAGATATAGAGTCCCAGAAGTTGGTTAAACGGCTGGTTTCATGGGGTTTGTCCATATATTTTTCTTAAATGAACGGGTGGAATGGTCACTTAACCGATATATTTTCACCCCAGAATGAACTGGAATACTGTTCAGTTTCCATATACAATTACAATTGTGAATTATTCCATCACGGACGGACTATTCTGAGATTGCTTCTATTTAATGCAAGCTTGTGTGTGAACATATACGTAAATGCACGTACACGCTGTCATAAGCGCATAATAATTACCTTTCATCTTTCACCAAAACGTTTCCTAGTATAAATACTAAAAGAATTTATATCGAAGAAATGTATTTTTCCATCTGGGGCAGAGAGTCTATATCTGGTTTACAACAGACGAGTCGGTCTAATGCGCATAATGTGATTATTCGAAACCCAGTCGAGCGTTCATTTTAAGTATAGACAACGTAACTTGATGCCTCATGTTAAGGAAATGGGTGCATTAAAGCCATAATAAAGTATGTCCCTGACCCACTGCGCTTTTAGAACAAGTGATTTACCTTTTCAATCGTCCCGATCATTACACTCTTTGGCTTTGGAAATGGGGGAACGTATTAGCGAAACAGAGACTTGAATCGACGCAGGTGTTTTGACACGTGATCTTTCTTTTGGAAAAGAATTTGACATTGTTATGACAGTTTGAATATTATAGTTTTCCGTTCTCATGTGTCATACATGTCTTGATATTATCGCCTGTCATTGTGTCCGTATTTGTTGATGTTGACACAAACCCTCACTTTTGAGGGTATGCGATTAGAATAGCCCCACGGCTCTTCATGCTTGTTTACCCAGGTGACTATAGTGACTGGTTGCCCAGAATGATGACTGAGTGTTTATAACAGACGCTCACACTATCAATAACTATTATCTGTCCCAAGAACTGTGACGAATCAGTTGAAGTTAAGCAACGTCGAGCTCGGACAATCCTTGGATGGGTGACCGTGTTTGGCAGCTTGACTCCTGAGAGTTTCTAAGACTTCAGTCCTGCCCCACAACGAAGCACATGTGATACATGTGGTCTCACCTTAGGCAAGTGAGTTTGTTCAAATTGCCTCTGTTCACCCAGCAGAAAATGGGTACCCGGTTGGAAAAAGGCATGTGACTATAACCTTCTAGCGCCTAACAGGCAGCTTGGGTTATCCGGGTTAATAAGAATCAGATTCTGATTAAGCGCTGCGAGCAATCACTTGGTGTTTTGAAACGTGCGCTATAGAAGATGACGTATTATTTAATATTATTATATAACGGTTTGCAGTTTGAGTGCGTATTTTCGAAATATGGGCGTTTAATTGTATTCTTCTTTTTTGTCTCTGTCTTCCTTTTCGTCACCATAGGTAGTTGTAGTTCTTCATAAATACTGCCTCCCCTCCCCTGCTTCAACCAAACACAGGTACACTCATGCTAAGAGCATACTAATAAACAGGTGCAGCTATGAATGGTGTTTTATTTTACGCTGTCTCAACATCTAGGTTTACAGGCTTCACACTCTGCCCTTGTATTTCTAGGAAATGTAATTCACTTACGTCCGATAATGTAAGCATTAACATTTATGCAGGTAGTACTCCATAAATCTTTGTTCCAATATACATTTATTATCTATTTATATCATGCCGCTTCTTTCATAGAGATGTTTGAAAGTGAATAAAAATCGCAAACTCTTGACATCATGAACAGTGTATAATAAATACATAGTTTGCTGGAGTGTTTTGCTTTGAGCACGACGACGACCACTGATTGTGAAACGTCTACAGTTGTGTTCATGTGCGTCAGACCGCCTCCGTGGTGTAGTGGTTAGAGCGTCCGCCCGGAGAGCGGAAGGTCGCGGGTTCGATCCCGGACCGCGTCATACCAAAAGACGTTAAAATATGGTACTTGTTGGTCCCTGTCTGGCGCTCGGCATTAATGGGTACAACAAGGACTGGTCGGCTCGGAGTCAGTATAATGTGTCTGAGTGGGGTATTCATGCTTCACTGCGGCATGGTATCTCAGTGGGCTAACACTATAAAACAAGTTTAAGTCTGGGCTAGTACAAGCAGCCGCACATACACATACACACGCATGCACGTCGTCATATGAGCGAAATATTCTCAAGCACGACGTTAAACCCAATTTCACCTCACCTCATGTGCGTCATATCTTTCGTCATAATTTTCAATGATGTACCCTATTTTCGCGTGTTCATAGTCGTGGGGCCAAGTGGTTAGAGCGTTGACTGGTCACACTGATCAATTGGGTTTGTTTCCCACATTGGTACAGTCAAAGAAACAGTTATATATTGTCCCGGCCTTGTCTTAACTGGAAGTCTACCAAAGCAGCGTAAAACTATAAACCTAGTATCATCGGTTCTTAATCATCCCTGCCGTGATATTGCTGGAATATTGCTAAAAGCGGCGTAACACCAAACTCACTCACTCACTCTTAATCATCCAGAGTGGTTATAAACGATCCCCAGAGTGGCTTTAAATCATAACCAGAGTGAATCGAAACTTACAAACTCAAAGGCGCTTGTGTTGAGTTTTGGTTGAGAAGTAGATATAATTATTTGCATTAAGCCTCCCCTGTCGCATAGCACCACAGTTTAAATGTAGGTAGTTAAATATATCACCAGACACTATTGACACTTGTTACAAATGTTCAAATGCTTGAACTACAAATATGCAAACACTAGCATTATTGTTTATTATATATGAACAATTATTTTTCAAATGTTTTTTGTCTTTAAAGTAAGCTACTTACATCAGATGCACATATTTCACTCAACCACGTGCAGAAAGCGTTATAATAGACGAAAAAACCCAATAAAGTAGCGGCCTTGACACGAAATAGTTCCACTAACCAACTTTGAAATCCGATATATGAGCTCTAATGACAAAGAATATATGCCCCGCTGAGATAACCATTTTTTTCACATCGCGTGACAATTTACCGTTATCTATAAAACTACAAAGAGCACAACGTGTCCTACGTCTATCGGATACCCTGCTGTAACTGAGGCTGTTGTACGCAGGTGTTGGGGTTGGGTGGGTGCTGGGGGTGCTGGGGGTGAAAGTTCAAAACATATGGGATTACATAATGACTGCTCGTCAGGAACTCCAGGCCTTGATTTCCGTGCTGGTAATTTTTACATCTATCTACAGCACATTTACGACCTTTTAGCCGTCATTTAATTACAGTACACACACGCACGGACACACACACGCACGCATGCACACATAATAGCATGTTCAATAAACAGGTGCTTTTGATGGGTGATATCAGTTATCTTTCGCTCTCGCGATATATCGGTTCACATGCTTCACATTTCGTCCTTGCACGCACGCATGCGAGCGCACACACACACACACGCACACGCGCACACACACACACAGACAAACACACGAACGCACACACATAAGCACATGCGCACACACGTACACAAACACACATACATACATACATACATACATACATACATACATACATACATACATACATACATACATACATACATACATACATACATACATACATACATACATACATACATACATACATACATACATACATACATACATACATACATACATACATACAGTCTGTCCCATCGCCCCCATGAAAAGGAAAGGAAGCCACTATTGATGTAATAAATCCTCATCCACCTATCCATCACTATCCTACAGCCCATGTAACTCCCACAGATCTATGTCGTCCTTAAACGGCGGTAGAGTAGTCTGGTGGTCCATAAACGGAGGCCGAGTAGTCTGGTGGTCCATAAACGGAGGCCGAGTAGTCTGGTGGTCCTTAAACGGCGGTAGAGTAGTCTGGTGGTCCATAAACGGAGGCCGAGTAGCTTGGTGGTCCTTAAACGGAGGCCGAGTAGTCTGGTGGTCCTTAAACGGAGTCCGAGTAGTCTGGTGGTCCATAAACGGAGGCCGAGTAGTCTGGTGGTCCATAAACGGTGGTAGGGTAGTCTGGTGGTTCGTAAACGGCGGTTGAGTAGTCTGGTGGTCCGTAAACGGTGGTTGAGTAGTCTGGTGGTCCATAAACGGCGGTAGGGTAGTCTGGTGGTCCGTAAAGGGCGGTAGGGTAGTCTGGTGGTCCATAAACGGCGGTAGAGTAGTCTGGTGGTCCGTAAAGGGCGGTAGAGTAGTCTGGTGGTCCGTAAACGGCGGTAGAGTAGTCTGGTGGTCAATAAGTCTGGGAGGCAGTCTGGTGGACGGCGGTAGTCTGGTGGTCCGTAAACGGCGGTAGGGAAGTCGGTAGGGGGCGGTAGGGTAGGTGGTCCGTAAACGGCGGTAGGGTAGTCTGGTGGTCCGTAAACGGCGGTAGGGTAGTCTGGTGGTCCGTAAACGGCGGTAGAGTAGTCTGGTGGTCCGTAAACGGCGGTAGAGTAGTCTGGTGGTCCGTAAACGGCGGTAGGGTAGTCTGGTGGTCCGTAAACGGCGGTAGACGGCGGTAGGGTAGTCTGGTGGTCCGTAAACGGCGGTAGGGTAGTCTGGTGGTCCGTAAAGGGCGGTAGGGTAGTCTGGTGGTCCATAAACGGCGGTAGGGTAGTCTGGTGGTCCATAAACGGCGGTAGAGTAGTCTGGTGGTCCGTAAACGGCGGTAGAGTAGTCTGGTGGTCCGTAAACGGCGGTAGAGTAGTCTGGTGGTCCGTAAACGGCGGTAGGGTAGTCTGGTGGTCCGTAAACGGTCGGTGGTCCATAAACGGCGGGGTAGTCTGGTGGTCCGTAAACGGCGGTAGAGTAGTCTGGTGGTCCGTAACGGGGTAGTCCATCGGTCTGGTGGTCAATAAACGTCCGTGGTGGTCCGTAAACGGCGGTAGGGTAGTCTGGTGGTCCGTAAACGGCGGTAGGGTAGTCTGGTGGTAAACGGCGGTAGGGTAGTCTGGTGGTCCTGGTGGTAAACGGCGGTAGGGTAGTCTGGTGGTCCGTAAACGGCGGTAGGGTAGTCTG